CAATGAATGTGCCCACAAAGAGGCCTTTGTGCCATTTCTGGCATGCGTGCTATAGGTTCGCTGTCACAGATACAAGACGAAGGAGAAATTTCCTGACAGTTAGAACAATTAATCAATGGAACAACTTGCCTCCAGAAGTTGTGAATGCCCCAACACTGGAAGTTTTAACGAAGAGATTGGACAATTATTTGTCTGAAGTGGTGTAGGGTTTCCTGCCTAAGCAGGGGGGTGGACTAGAAGACCTCCAAGGTCCCTTTCAACTCTGTTATTCTGTTATTTGGTTCCGAATAACCAAAGTTAGAAGTGGTGAGAAAAACACTCTCCAATTTGCCTTCTGACTGGAAATGGACATGCCTTGTCCTAGTTACCTCTAGGCACATGTAGTCCTTGACTTAAAACCGATCGCTTAGCGACAGTTCAAAGTTACAACAGCATTGAAAAAATGATTTGGGACCAGTTTTCCCCTGGGGGATCAAAATTCAGAAGGAGGGCAACTGATTCGTATTTATGAAGGTTGCATTAACCTGAGGTCATCTGATCATCTTTTGCCACCTTCTGACAAGCATAATCGATGGGAAAACCAAATTCACTTAACAACCATGTTACTAACTTACAATCGCAGTGTTACACTTAACAACTGTGGCAAGAAAGGTCATAAAATGGAGCAAAACTTACTTAATCACTGTCTCGCTTAGCAGAGGCAGAAATGTTCAGGCTCCATTGTGGTCATAAGTCAAGAATTGTCTGCAGATTTTTCAAACCCCCTAGTGGTCATAATTTGTGGACTGCCTATAGCAGGGGTCAGCAACCTGCGGTTCTGGAGCCGCATGTGGCTCTTTTATCCTTCTGATGTGGCTCCCTGTCACCAGTTGGCTCCACAATTGATAGGGCTTTCGGTTAGGACAGGTAGAGGAAAAAGGATGTTGCACTAGGAGGAGACTCTATGGTGGTGGTGGTGGTGGGGGAATCGGACTTCCGGTCAGCAGAGGAAAAAGGATGCCGTGCTAGGAGGAGACTCTATGATGGGGGAACCGGACTTCCGGTCAGCAGAGGAAAAAGGATGTCGCACGAGGAGGAGACTCTATGGTGGGGGGAATCGGACTTCCGGTCAGCAGAGGAAAAAGGATGTCGCACAAGGAGGAGACTCTATGGTGGGGGGAATCGGACTTCCGGTCAGTAGAGGAAAAAAGATGCCATGCTAGGAGGAGACTCTATGGTGGGGGAGTCGGACTTCCGGTTAGTGGAGGAAAAAGGATGCCATGGTAGGAGGAGACTCTATGGTGGGGGAATCGGACTTCCGGTCAGCAGAGGAAAAAGGATGCTGTGCTAGAAGGAGACTCTATGGTGGAGGAACCAGACTTCTGGTCAGCTCCAGAATTGAATGGGGGGCTTCCATTTAGGACCTTTGTGGCTCTTTGAGTGTTTAAAGTTGCCAACCCCCGGCCTATAGTATGAATCAAATTGCTTCATCTACCAAAGCCATAAGATTCTTTTGTTCCAACAGGAATCGCGCCAGGCTGGCATCTGGAATATATTGATATTGAAGACTCTCTTGTGGACAAAATTTTCCGTTTCCAGTGTGACCGCTGGCTTGCAAAAGATGAAGATGATGGCCAGATTATACGGGAACTGGCCTGTGCCAATAATGACATTTTGGAATTGAAAGAACGAACCTGTAAGTTGTGAAACAAGCAAGGAAAACCAAATGCACAGGTATAGCATAGGTGATTCCTGGCTCATTAGTGGTGACTTGGAGAGGAATCTTGAAATCTTAGTGGACAACCATTTAAATAGGAGCCAGCCGTGTGCATCAGCTTCCAAAAAAGCCAACACAGTTCTAGGCTACATAAACAGAGGGATAGAATCAAGATCACNCCTTCTTTCCCTTCTCTTCTTTCTCTTCCTCCTCTTTCTTCCCCCCTTCTTCTGCCTTTCCTATTCCCTATTTCAACTTTCAATGAAGTGGAGACGTTGGTTTTGTGCCAGAGGGGGTTCCTACCAGTTTGGACCAGTTCGGCCAAGTAGGTAGTAACTCAGCCTGCCACGCCCCGAACTGGTTCTACTGGCAGCGCCATAGGCGCCGCCATCTTGTTTTTTTGCTTCTGCGCTTCTACTACTGTGCATGCGCGCGTGCACCCAAAGTGCATCCCTGAGCAAACCAACAGTAGCAGAAGCCGGGAACCCACTCTTGGCGTGCACAGCACACTCACTCACTCGAGTTGCTGTTAACTAATTCAGTGTATTATACGAGCACTAGTGGGCTGATATGCTTTGGCTTCTATTAAGCCAAATATGGCCTCTACTCCAATGTATCTTTTCTAGGGGTAAGCAAGACAAGCACAGTATTTTGAGAATTAGAATCATGGAATGATAGAGTTGGATGCCTAGAATTTAAATCCTGCCCTCTCTCTCCTCCTCCCACTCTCCCCTCTCCTTCTCTCTCTTCTTCTCCCTCTCCTTCCCCTCTCTCTTTGCCTCCCTCTCTTTGTCTCCCTTTCCCCCTCCCACTGCCTCCCTCTCCCCCTCCCTCTTCCATTTCCCCTTCCTCTCTCCCTCTCCCCCTCTCCTTCTTTCTCTTGTTCTCAACTCTCTCCCCCTCTCTCTTTGCCTCCCTCTCTTCCTCCTCCTCCTCCCTCTTCCTTTCCCCTTCCTCTCTCTCCCTATCCCCCTTTCCTTCTCTCTCTTGTTCTCCTCCCTTCTCTCCCCCTCTCTCTTTGTCTCCCTCTCTTCCTCCTCCTCCTCCTCCCTCTTCCTTTCCCCTGTGTTTTACATTGTACAAGTAGCTCTCCACGTATTTCTATTTCTTTGTGCAATAACAGCAACCAATTTGTCTATGTTGTGTGTACGAGCTTCTCTCATAAGCACATTGCTCAAGACCAAGCAAAGAGACTTTAAATGCATTGCTGTGCCCGGAATACATGAGTTGGTATTGTACAACTGACAAGGTGGTTGATTTTGGATAACTGCTTCGAAAGTAATAGGCACGGGAGTTTATTTTGAAAATAAATTTTGAAAAGAGATCTCAACTCCTCCTTCTCACCCATAAACCATAGTTTGCCTTCACTGACATTTCCATATTAATCATTACTGCTTCCAGTTTTGGTCACCACGATGTAGAAAAGATGTGGAGACTCTAGAAAGAGTGCAGAGAAGAGCAAGAAAGATGATTAAGGGACCGAAGGCTAAGACATATGAAGAACGGTTGCAGGAACTGGGTATGTCTAGTTTAATGAAAAGAAGGANAAGTTGTCACTTCCAGAAAATCACTTCTAAGTTGTCACTTCTGGGAAGTTACTTCCAGGTTGCCGTTAGGACTGTTTTTTGCCCTCCGGAGCCTTCAGGGAGGCCTCTGGAGGGCCTCCAGGAGCGGGGCTGGGGGAGGCTGTTTTCCCCCTCCTCAGGCTCCTAGAAAGCCTCTGGAGCCTGGGGATGGTGAAAAACAGGTCCATCACACATCAAAAGCAGGGGAAGGGCAGGGGTCGTGCACACATAGCATTATGGGCGTGGGCACGCCCACTCACGACCCCTCTGCGCTTCCCCTGCTTTTGGCACGTGATGGGAAAAAGGTTAGTCATCACTGCTCTAAACCATTTAGGTCCCATCCCTTCTTAAAAGCCTCCAGAGATGGAGCACCTACAATTTCTGGAGGCAAGTCGTTCCATTGGTTAATTGTTTTCCTTGTCAGACAATTTCTCCTTGGTTCTAGGCTGGTTCTCTCCTTGACTATCACACACTAGATACAGTCGTATAACAGCCTTAGCCTAGTTCCTGAATTATTATTGTTGTTGTTTTTGTTCAGTTGCTAAGTCGCGTCTGATTCTTTGTGGCCTCATGGACCACAGCATATCAGACCCTCTGTCCTCCTGAGTTTGCCCAAATTCACGTTCTTTGCATCAATGACACCATTTAACCATCTCATCCTCTGCTGTCCCCTTCTCCTTTGGCCTTCCATCTTTCCCAACATCATCATTTCCCTTCTCCATGGAGTCCCCTCTTCTCATTCGGTGGCCAAATTATTTGAGCTTCAGCTTCAGGATCTCTCCTTCCAAAGGACAGTCAGGGTTGATTTCCTTTAGGGTCGACGGATTGGATCTCCTTGTAATCCAAGGGTCTTTACAGTGTTCTGACGGATGCCCTAATTAAATCATGAGCCTCGAGCCAGCTTCAAAAGAAATCCAGTTATTTATTAGGAGCAACATGTTGGCACATACCCAAGTGAAGCCAACTCTGACCCCACATAATTTACGGCCCAATTATGACCCTGTTTCCCCCCTCCCCCTATGGTGTGTCAAAAATCACATTCTCCAATGAAGCACTTTCACGTTGACGGGTAACCGGGGAGACAGCCTTGAGAAAGATATGCCTGGAATGTGCTGGTTTGTTTGTGACTGCCATGCTGCTTTGCCAGTTTCCCATCCCCCTCGCCTATGGCAACTCAAGAGCAGGCCAGGGATGCTTTGTGAGTTTACAGTTCTCCTCCAACACCACAATTCAAAAGCATCAGTTCTTCAGCACTCAGCCTTCCTTACAGTCCAACTCTCACAGATATACGTTAACTACTGTGAAAACCGCCTATGTCAGCAAGGCCTGAGTTATGGGTTTTCACAATTATTTCAACTTTCTTTTTTTTTTTTTTTTTTTTTTTTAAAAATAAGATTTTATTGGTAAAAAGAAAATACAACATCCATAACTTGTAACAAACAATACAATTACATTTCGAGA